TAACATCGGTACTTAAGCACATGAAGTTTGGCCCCATCATGAGAAAGTGGATTAACCTGCTGTACAGAGGTAGCAACAGCAGAGTCATGGTTAATGGCAATAGATCACGCCCCTTTGAAGTCTGTTCAGGGGTGATTATACCCCTTGTTATTTGTATTGGCCATGGAGCCCTTAGCCTGTGCCTTGCGCCAGGAAAAGGCCATTAATGGGATACCAGTGCCTGGAAGTGGGGGAGGAGAGGTAAAGACGTCTCTGTACATTGATGACATCACCCTGCTCCTCTCTGACAATGCCTCAATTAGCAGAGCTTTGCAGTGCTGTGATCGGTTTTCTTTGGCTTCCTCTGCAAAAATTAATAAATCCAAGAGCTCTCCGGCTGCGCTTTGGAGTGGAGGAGGCGCCGGACCTGATGCGGGAAAGGCTGGCCCTGTGGCGACGCCGACCAGGAGAGCGACTGGGCCCGGTCGTCGCTGATGTCATGTTCCTCACCCGCCGAGGATACCCAGCTTTTCCCCGGGAGGCGGAGTGGGAGATGGCTCCAGGCCTTTCTCAAGGCCCTCTCACCCGAGGAGCTGCGGCGCCACGTACAGCTGGCCGTGCCGGCCTGCTGGAAGCGCCAGCAGACATAGTGCACCCTGCCGGCTGACAGAGGTGGCGACAGAAGAGTCCAGCGAGAGGGAAGAGGAGCCAGCCTGCACAGCGACCCCCGCGGAACAGCCCCGCAAGCTGTTTTGCGAATGCTGCAGGAAGAGGGGACACCGAGCCCGGGACTGCTGGGCCCCAGAGCCTCGCACTCCCGGATCGGCGTCGGGAAACGGGAACGGGGCGGCTCAGCGTGGGGATGGCCAGCCCTTGAACACCTCAACCCCCGCTCTGGAGAGCGCTGTGAAGACCGGCACCCCACATGCCACCGTTGGGCAAGTCGGCTGTAGCCGGGGCCTGTACCTCCACTGCCAAATCGAGGACCAACCCTGCCTGGCCTTGCTCGACACCGGTTCATCGGTAACCGAAGGCACCAACACCCCAGGATGGGAGGCCTCCGGCCTGTGGCTTAGGACCGTGATGGGACAGCTTGCTGCAGTCCAGGGGAAACAGGTGCTTGCCTTCCGTCTGGGTACAGCGACGGTGCGCTAGCCCTGCTACCTTGCACCCATCCAGGAGGACTGTATCCTGGGGCTGGACTTGCTGCAGTGGGCAGGGGCCAGTTTTGACTTGGGCCGGCAGGAGTTGGTGTGGCTGGGAGAGCGACTTCACCTGGTGGAGGGCAGGCCCAGCGAAGGCCGAGGGACGTGGCTGGAGCCGGGGGAAAAAGAGGCATTGGTGGCGGCGGCTGCGGCAGTTGCCGGGGCGGACGGGGCTTGCGAGCTGGGGAGCGAGCGTGTCGGATCCTGCCCCTGAGTCACCTGGGGGGCCAGACAAGGCGGCGGTGGCGGGGGCCAAGCGTTGCGTGGAAGCAAGGCGTGCCGTTGAGGACCTGTACCAGCGAAGCTGCGAGGGCCTCGATCAGGACCAGCGGCAGCAGCTCCAGGCGCTACTTGGCCAAAACGAGGACCTCTTTGCGGCGAGAGATGAGGACTGCACCCGCACTGCCCTGGTCCAACACGAAATCAACACTGGCAAAGCTCAGCCCATCCACATCCCACCGGGACATGTGGCTAACACCAAGCGGACAGCTGCCGAGGAAAAGATCCGGGAGATGGCGGCAGCGGAGTGATTGAGCCCTCTGCGAGCCCATGGTCGGCACCAGCTGTACTGGTCTGAAAAAAAGACAACTCGTGGAGGTTCTGCGTAAACTACCACAAGCTGAACGAGGTCACCTGAAAAGACTCCTACCCCCTGCCGAGGATAGACAACGCCTTGAACTACATCACCGGGTAGACCTGGTTCAGCTCCCTGGACCTCCGCTGCGGCTGCTGGCAGGTACCGCTTGCTCCCGATGCTCACCTGAAGACGGCCTTTTCCATCGGCCAGGGCCTCTGGCAGTTTACTGTCATGCCTTTTGGCCTGTGCAATGCCCCAGCGACGTTCGAGAGGCTGATGGAGAGGGTGTTGGCATCGGTCCCGCGGAACCAGTGTGTGCTGTATCTGGACGATCTGCTGGTTCATGCCCAGGGTTTCGACCAGGCCTTGACGAACCTCCAGGCGGTGCTGGAATGCATCCGCCGTGCTGGCCTGAGGCTCAATCCCTGCAAGTGAGAGCTCCTGCGGCGGGAGGTGACCTTCCTGGGACATGTTGTTGGACCGCGAGGGATGGCTACAGACCCAGGTAAGGTCGCCGCAGTGAGGGGTTGGCCGCCTCCTTGCACTGTTGCGGAGCTGTGCAGCTTTCTAGGGTTGGCCTCGTACTACCGGAGGTTCGTCCGGGACTTTGCCAGCATCGCTGCCCCGCTGCTCCGCCTCACCGACAAGGGCCGCCATTTCGACTGGGACTCGGTTTGTGAGATGGCTTTCGGCTGGTTACGTGAAGCACTGGTGGGGGCCCCTGTGTTGGCCTAACCCGATCAGCGGTTACTGTATATCCTGGATACCAACGCGAGTGACTCGGGGGTGGGTGCAGTGTTGGCGCAGGAGGGGCCAGATGGGGAGCGGGTAGTTGCCTACTACAGTCGGGCTTTGAATAAGGCTGAACGGAACTATTGCGTGACCCGTGGCAAGCTGCTGGCGGTGATGGCGGCGGTCAGGCCGTACCTGTTCGGGACCCGGTTCCGGTTGAGGTCCGACCATGCGTCCCTCACCTGGCTGCTCCACTTTAAGGAGCCGAAGGGGCAGATGGCACGATGGACAGAGGTCCTGAAGGAGTACGATTTCACTGTCGTGCACCGTGTGGGGTCTCGCCATCTCAATGCCGACGCTCTCTCGCGGCACCCCAGTGAGGCCGCAGACTGCAGCTACTGCCCCCAGCAGGAGCAGCGTGAGGGGGCCGTCCGCACTGTGGCAGAGGGGCTGCTGGGGGTGGGCATGTCAGACCTAGTGCAGCAACAGGCAGCTAATCCTGACGTGGGGCCAGTGCTCCGCAGGAAGGCAGCAGGAGCGCGGCCTGCGTGGGAGGAGCTTGCCCTGCATATTTGGCTCTTCGCCAAAGTGTGCAATCGCCTGGGAATCTCTAAGACGCAAACCACCCCGCTGCATCCCCAGAGCGACGGGTTGGTGGAGCGGTTTAATCGAACGCCCGCCACCCAGCTGGTCACCCTGGTGTCCCGGCACCAACGGGACTGGGACCGCCACCTCCCCCTTGTGCTCTGGGCGTATCGGACCACGGTCCAGGAATCTACCGGGTGCACCCCGGCCTCGCTCATGCTGGGCCGGGAAATGTGAACCTTGGCGGACCTGGTCTTCGGCCCGCCGCGCGGAGACGAGTCGGTACCGCTGGCTGGACCGGACTAAGAGTGGGACCTGCGGCAGCGGATGCGGCGGGTACACAGCTTTGCCCGGACCCACATAACTCAGGCAGGAGTCCAGCAGAAGGGCACTACGACCTGCGCTGCAGGGGGCCTGCATTCCAGCACGAGGACTTGGTTTGAGTGTACAGCCCGCGCTGCCTCAAAGGCCTCAGCCCTAAGCTGGAGCCGTCGTGGGAGGGGCCCGCTGAGGTCCTCGGGGTGGTGGGCTAGGTCTGCTACCGGGTCCGGTTGCAAACACGGGGGAGAGTGGTGGTCCTGGACCGAGACAGCCTGGCCCCCTACCGGGTCCGGGGCCGGAGCCGGCCGATAATGGGGCGTCCGCGGGCCGCCAGCCGCAGCGGCGCTCACGCAGAGTTCCGCAGCCTTTAGCCAAGTATGAGTAGAGCCTGAGGGGGGTGTTCAACGTCAGCGGGACGCCAGACGCTTCAGGTGGGGGCAGTGTAATACCCTCGCCCGGTGGTGAGGAGGAAGCGCACCAAGGCGCTCATGGTACCGCGAAGCAGGCTGGGAATTGTAGCCGGGGGGGGGAGTCTGAGGGTCAGCACGATGACCAGCAGCTCACCCTGCATATGTAAATATTGTTATAGTAGTTTTAGTGTCCTGTGTAGCTTTATAAGTGTATAGCCTGTTGTTAACGAATTACCACCCTAACGATGTGTACTTGTTCCTTCCGTCTCCTCATGTGTGTGTATATCCTGTGTTTGGTTTTTGTGTGGTTTCGATAGGAGAATAAAGCAGTCGCTTGGTTTGCTATCCCGTCTCCACTTGTCGTTTATCCTGTGGGAACTTGAAAACGTTACATTGGTGTCAGAAGCGCGGTGGGATAGCCGAGGACGGCAAGTTAAGCGGGGGAGAGTGTAATGCATACGGCCTCCGTTGCTTGCGAGAGCTGGCTTACAAGCGCGGTGACGTCACCGCCCTTCCCTGTGTATAGCAGGAACCGCAGCCGGCGGGCTAAGGGGAGATTTCCCTTTGGCTCAAGAGGCTGGGTCCCTGTTGAGTGATGCTGGAGGCCCGGGTTTGAGTCCCTGACGGTGGGAGGCCGACCTGAGGCAGCAGCAGCGAGGGTGCCCATGTGAACCCCGAAGCGTTACAATATTTTTAATCTGAACATTCAAATATGAGTGAGAAATTCCCTACAGCGGGTCTATCTGTTGCTGCTATGAATTATCCCAATGGAAGCAAAGTAGTAAAAAAAAAAAGACCACTCGTAATCGAGTACGTAATGTTTCTGAAGCGCACAAAAGAAAAGTAAACGATCTCAAAACAGAGGCACGCCAAGCAAGTTGTAAAATGTGTGCTTCTTGTTCTTCTTTGAAACTTATTTATGTGTTCTCAGAACTGGTTTATACATTTTCTAGTTATAAAATTCATGTAATTGTTCTAAGTAGTGAAAGTACATTTGGGTGGGAGCTGATAATAGTGTATGTGTAAATCGTGATCTGGAGGGCCCCCAGAAAGCTAGGGCCGGGCCTGAAACAGACCAGAGTGCTAATGAGAGATTTACATTCAACGGCTGGTTTTCATTATAGGAATGATGCTATAGCCAATTCCTTTTCTCTGGCGGAATTGCCATCAGCTCTAGTTGGGTGCCAGACACAGGGATGGTCAGTAAAATAATAAACTTCGATTTAGTTTTTTACTCAATAAAAGTAAAAAAAAGGACCTAGAATTGGTCAGTAGATGGGGCCATTGACACACTTTCGGAACAGCAGCAAGCCACAGACCCCGCTATTGCCTTGCGAATCATGTCGAAAGAAATTATGGGAAGTTTTAAAAACAAAACGTTCGTTATGTTGTGTGTGTACTGTAGGTTTATTCCATGCTGAAAAAGAAGAAAAGAAACACAACGTTGAGGAAAACGTAACACAAAATCAGTCAAGGGACCAAGCTGTCCATGAAGTAAATACTAATGTAAACACTTCCTGTTACGTGTGTGACATTTCTTGCCGCACACTTTAGTTAAGATTTTTATTTTATTTTAGTGGGGTTACCACTACACGTAGAAAATCAGTACAGAAAAAAGACAAAGTGCTGTATCTGACGTTTAATCATTTTCTATTCATTTAAATCGTTTGGCTACAGGCACACCTTTTTTTTGCATCACTAAAGAACAGTGTAATGCGTTGCAATACAGTGTTTACAGGTGGCAAAGTTAACAGTAGCTCTGTAGGTTTGAGGCGGAGACATTAAAAAACTAAACAGCTCACTTTCTTTGCAAATTAGTAGAGATGAATTGCTCAACAGACGAGAAAATATAAACTACTAAAACTCATTTCCTAGAAAACTAGAACCAGAAGATTATTATTGAAGTTTTCTGTTTTTTATTAAAAAGTTCTCTGTTTTCTTAATCATCCTAATTATTTTTAAATGAAATTCAACATTTGGGTTGCTAGGAGGTAATTATACCAAGGATCTCTCCTGGGTGTCCATTAAAGGTAGACAGGCAGGGAAACCACATCAGCAAACTACATATCTGCATCAGAAAGAGCATTTGAAGAATCTAGGATTTAATATACTACTAGCAACAAAATCTGCACAAAGGGCCATCTCCACTCTTCTCATCTGTAATCTTCTTATGTCCTTGTTTTTATAATACTTTTTCTGTACTAAATAATAAAAGAAACATGTGCAGGGTGATACTGTAACTGTAGTATGGCCTAAATCACCTTAACCACAAGATGGCCTGTTGGGTCTCTTTTTATTTGTGAGAGGGACTGCAGAGAAAAACAAAGCGCATGTTTTGGCCTTATTTTGCACCACGTGACCCAATGGCACGGAGGAGAGAAAAAAACCCTTCTGAAGGGAAAATCTCTGGGGATCCAAGGCCATGGGCTGCCCTCCCTCCAGGCAGGCTAATGTGGTAACAGAATTCCACTGAGACTTAAGGCTGTCTGCTCTGAATTCAAGGCCCATATGATCAGTAAAGAGGCAGCTAAGCTGTTGTGGAAGATTCATATTAAAAGAGGTCTAAAAATACGAAGAGAAGACTGGATCTGGAAAAAAAAAGTCACGTTAGCTGCAGAATAAGAGGCACATGGTAATAGCAGAATACAAGTCACATTAGTATCAGAATACAAGTACTGGTAGTATGAGCTTTTCAAAAAAGCAGTAATTGTCTGTGTGAAAGTTTATCTGAAAGTAGGAACTGTTGATTCATAAAGGGGAGAAATGAGCTGCTTGAAAACCTAACCATTTTCTGCCTGGAATTATTACCTTAATGATATTGGGTCTGTTTTTTTCATGGGTCACTGACTCCATTAGATAATAAATACATTTTATGGCTCTCTCTGTAATTCAAGATTTCAAGTAATGGTCAAATAAGTCAAGAGTTCAGACAGAACCCTTTTTTTTCTTCCTCAGTTTTCTTTCAGTTTACAAACTAACTCTAAATGGAATGTCAGCAAGTTGATTATGAGCTTCTCTGCAGTTCTGATCAAGAGTGATTACTTGTTATCTCAGAGTGTGGATATCTCTTAAGATACAACGTCTGTGCCTATACTTATTGCATGTACACTTACAGTTATAATACTAAGCGTACGCTTGTATTATACAAGGGGCAATAGAGTTATTAAAAAAATAAGAATACACAAAAGACACAGAAAAAGTTAATAAACCTGCACTGTTGCCACAAAAATTAAGCTGCGTCAGGACTTCTTGTTAGGGTGACTTAGAATATTAATCTTATTTATTAATCTTATTTTTTATTAAAAAAAAGAACTTACTTTTGAACAGGAATTAATAGTTATTCTAAGAACACTGCTACACAGAATGCAGCAGATTTTAAAGATAATCAAAAATATGTCAGCTCTCAATAACAGTTTAAGAATTGATTATTTAAAGTCAGATTTTTAATGTGCAGACATGCACATTTGAGAGTGAAGTAAAAAAATAAACCCTAGTTTTCCTGTTACTTTGAGGATTTTCTGTTCTCAATTCCTTTGCTGTAAAATATCAGAAAGCAAGCATCAACTGTAACATTAAAGAAATACAGGCATCTATGAAGGTTAAAAAAAGATTAAAACATAGAGCAAATTATTTGGCACAATTCTCAGTCTTAGGTTGTAATTATATCACATAACAGTTCACAGCAAATGTTCCACTTACTGAATCGAGTTCCCCCAGGCAGCTGGAGAGGATACATATTCAACATGGTGGAAACATGTGACCATGCAGGAGAAGTCTGACCCATGTGTAAATGGAACATGTACTGTATCTCTCTGGAGGACCCTAGTTAGTCCCTAGTGGAAGTCTAACTGTTAGTAACAGACAACTCTCTTACTTTTGCGTGAAAAAAAACCAATATGATGATTACTGAAAGGAGCAGTATAACAGCAAGAGTGAACAAAGCCATATAATTAGTTGAAATTCCTAAAATGAAATAGAAAAATGAAAGATTGTTAGTCAATGTGTAAAACCATAAACTGTGAAATCCTCAGTTTAACAGGCTTTGGATCTAATGGATAAAATCTAAACGGGATTGTCTGTGAAGTCAGAAGCACTAGACTTTACCCGCAGTAATGGAGAAATGCACATCTAACAAAGCAACGTAAACATAAGGACTACATAGATTTAGGATTCAGGAATATCAGAGATATCCTATATGGGTAGGTCAGTTGCTTACAATGGATGTTGTTTGTGTTTTGTATGCTTTAGTTAATTTACAGTATGTCTATGAAACATGAAAGAAAGAACTTGTATACTTATGATAAAAATAATAATTTTTATTGACTATGTTGCTGGTCGTGTTGAAGACTATGTTGATTTTAAATGTTAAAATTAAGTCAAAAGATCCAGAAAGCATATCTGATATATATTATATGATTTTTTTTGTCACGTAATAGTTTCTGCTGAAAAAACATCATTTGAGATTTTACAGCCATTCGGCAATAACAGACCCCCCCATAAGTCCATTAACCCAAGGGGATTCTGTGCTTTAAAATACCGTATATGCTAATTTAATATTATATAGTCTTTTTTTTAGCTTGTAAGATCAACAATATGAAACAAAATTTCATTGACAATCAAAGCGTATCTTTTAAAGGGAATGCAGTTCTTGGATGTTTACTTATTACCATATAAGTAACCTTAAGTGTATTTAATCTGTCAGAAACGTGTTCGTAGCTACAACAGCTACAAAAGTTTTCGTAGCTAAGTACAACATGCAATACTGGCCTTAATTGTTGAACTTCTGCACTTTAAATAATTGGAAAAACGATCAAACAAAACTATATTCCGTTCAAAAACTAAAAATGTTGATGAAATATTTTGAACTTCTAAATAATGAAAAGGTGGTCTCTTTCTTAAATAAAAAAGAATGCATTACCGATTTGGAGATAAAGCACTCCTGTTGCTGTGGCATTAGGGGTACTCGCTCTACAGTAGTAGAGGCCACTGAGGTCAGGGGTGATGACAGAGAACTCCAGCTGAGCTTCAGTCACAGCTGCCCCGTCTGGGAGGACCTCGTTCTCCCTGCAAACACCAGAGAGGGTTCACAGAAGGGACTTCTCTTTCAGAGCTGCTGAGTGTTAGTGAAAAGAACCCATGTGACACCGTGCAGTAAGAAATGCTACAACTCTACCATGTCTGGCTGCTTGTATAGCAGCACACGAGACCTAGGGCAGGTTTTTATACCTCAGGCTAATGTACAGCAGGGTGCTGTCACAGATGGAATTCTGATTAAATATGTTCACAACAGTAAATCAGCCTGCATGTTTTCTGTTACAATGCTCTTGCGATAAAAACAGGATATCACTTGCACACCACAACCAGAAACTCTCACACAGGAACTAAATCAGCTCAGCAGTAATTCAGAAGAAGTCAGCCATTAGGTTCTTTCTATTTCTCATTTTGTTTAGCTGTGCAATTAAACAGGAATCCACTAAATACACACAAAACCAGAACACTGAAAACAAAGATTTTTGCTCTTCTTTATGCCTGCCCTTATAGTGCAGGGTATTGCACTACAGTATGCACTGGTTTAAAGTGCAATTAATTCTTGGTACTGTTGTCAAGTGCCACAGACGCAAGACATACCTTTTCCAATCATATCTGTCCACGGGGGGGTAGCATCTGCTTCACACTGGAAGGTGAGCTTAGTTGGTGTGTCTATTTTTATCACAACAACAGAAGGGGGATCTGAAAACCAAACAAAACCTCATTAAAGAAGCACCACATAGACATTTACACTCTCTAGTATTCAAAACCAGTGGTCCCAGATATCATAAACAGTCTGATGGGCTGTAGCCACAGCTCACAGAATACAATGCAAGGTGACAGCAGATAGCGGTGTCTCTTTGTCACTGTGATGCCACAGGTGAAAGGTCACTACGATCACGGCAGCTTTCTTTCTCCACAGAGCCCTTTGGAGGTCATCTGCCCTGAGCCAAAGACATGTATTTACCCATCACGAGCAGGCTAGGGACCCTGAAAGTGAATGCATGGCAGGTGCAAGGAGTGGAGTGGAGTGGAGCATGCGTGACTCCTTACACTGCACGGTGAGCTTGGAAGAGACCACTTCTGGCTGGGCCAAAGACAGGTGCTCCACCACGCATTGCACCTCCTGGCGATGCATCGAGCGTGCTGGGATGGCTCGCAGCTGGCTCTCGATGGTAATGGTAAGGTCCTCGTGCATCGATGAGCTTTCCATGCTTCCAAGCGTAGGAAAGGGAGTTCGCCAACTGATTTTAGCAGCCGGCTTGCCATTCTCTGCCCTGCAGGTTGCTATGCGACTTTCCGTTTCGCCTTCTTCAATTGGGTCTTCTGTAAATACCGTGATCGCAGGCTTAACTAGAAAGAGAGAGTGTACTGCTGGGTTACCTTTCTGACCTACAACCACTGTCTGACGGTTTTTCCATTTGTGCATATCATTTGTGCTTTTTGTGCATAGGATTCAGTGGTGACATGCAGGCTATAATAAGATTCATAACTCCACACTATGTGAGAGGGTAGTAGGTTCAGACAATATGGAGATTATTGTCTGAACTACATTCCCCAGAAGGATGTGGGGAATGAGATCTCATCCTCAGTCACCTGACCAGCTAATATGAGACAGTCATATTTAAATAAATTGTTTTCTTCTTGATGCCTGTCCATGACATAACTATGCAGAATAGACACTGTTGAGATGGTCTCTGTGAACTTTGTACATACTTTTTTTGCAGAACCTGCAGTAGTTGATAAGGTGGACACAGAGAACTGGTTTAAACTGGACTCTACTGTGTGATTCTATACTGTTATATAACAATGCGGGCTACGAAACTTAGTAACCAATTGTGTTAGAAGAAGTTATCTTTGGCAAATAGAGAGGAGGAAGATCTGTGTGATTTTGGAACACTGCCAATCTGATCAGCACATGGAAGTGTCAAAGATAACAGAAAAAATATAACAGGCTGGCTGAGTCAGGTGTATTGAGGGTCAGTGAGACAGAGAATGCAGCAATTCCTGATGTCCCGCTGATGGTTTAACCTTCCCCTTAGCTTGTCCATCTCGTTGGCCAGCAGGACACTCGGGAGTGGAGTCCGGTAGCCACGGTGCTTCACTCTCGCTTGAAGTCCTCACCGTCTACCGTGTCTACTGCGTTCGCTGGCTCTGCTCTGGGTCGAGTGGGTCAAGATATACAGATGAGGAGCAACACGCAACACGTCGCCACTCTCCGGTGCCATTTTGGATAAGCAGAGAAACATAACCCAGGGTCTACAGAATACCTGTCTGCACACATTGCTAGTCTGAGGACACTAAAATACATTAGAGGAAATGAGAGATGTACACAGACAAAAACGTTTTTGAAAATAAACAAACTAGGCAACTGGGCCAGGCCCTTCAGTTTTGCCCATTTAAGGATCATATAAATATATGCAACTGGTGTTATGATGTCAACACATGGATGTTCATCTGAACTTCCTTCCAGTATTTTTGGAATCAGTACTGTAGCAGAGCTAGTCCAGATAGTGAGAACTGAAAGTCAGGATGCCTGCCTGCCTGCCTATTCACCACTTACTACTTCGAAGACCTTAATTTTAAAAAGATGTGCCATTTTAAGACTTGCTTCTAAGAAAATAATCCTTCTAGGCTTTTTCATTGGAACCTACATTGAGATGGGTCTGGATTTAATATGATGATTTCTAAAGAGACTTTTCCCATCTCTTGGTTTATCACAACAGGTCTTACCTGTCACGTTCGTAGACCCCTCCTCTTAAGGATGCTCCAGCCCTTCCTTGTTTTCCACTCATCACCTGCACCTGCTCCCTGTTCTAACCCCCTTTCAGTTCTCCTTAAAAGCCAGTTGCTCACTTTATTCAGGGCTCTGCATTTGATCTCCGTATTGTGCGAGTCCTGGACCTGGAAGCGCCTGGTTCCATTAAGGTTTTATTCCCTGTTCCTGTCTCCCACCAGTTCCGATCCGGTTCCCGTTTTTAAATCTTGTTTGTCTTGGATGGACTGCCCGGTTTTGGACTTTTGCTTTCGTTTGGATTCCCCTTTGGATTTTCTCCTGGATTGATTGCCTCGGCCACACCTCCCCCAAATACCAGCGCACCAAGGACACGCCCCCTGTTTTCATCCCAGTAACCTGCATGATCTTTTCCCCGTGTTTCTTCACTTTTCCCTGGATCGTGTCGTCTGCATAGGGTATGAAATAACTGTTTTTGTTACATTACCATTAATCATGAGTCTCACTAAGCGATGAAATGGGCCACTGGGAAAAATGGTGAAGATGCAAATATATGTGCCTTCATCTGAGGGGGACACATTTTGTAGGATAATGGAGCCATCCCACTGTCCTTTTCTTTCAAATCTGACTCTTTTTCCCAATTCGTTGACAGGAATGGGTGCTCTGTCAGGTCTGTAGACGACAAAATTCAAATCAGCTGATCTCTGCCAGCTAATCTGCGACAGGTCTTCTAAAGGGTCCTCCACTAAACACCCAAGATAAGCATCCTCACCCGCTGTGCTCTCAAAACTGGTGTTGCTTATGAACCAAACTCCTGGAAAGTAAAAGGAAGAGGTAATCCATCGATTAGACACGTTGCCAATTTCACACACATTTACCTTGGACTTCCTTGTTGGTACTTTGTAAGTGCTACAGGGAAACATCACTGAAAAATGAATCAGTTTTCAAGGCAAAGGGTTATCAGATAACTGGGGTCATTGTGTATGTAGTCCAGCATCAGTACAGAATGAAATGCATGCAATGGATTTATTATATAAGGAATATTCTCACAGGACAGGTGATCAGAAAAGAGACTGAGAAGGCTGATGATGATTTATTTCAGCTCATACTCTATCTTAAATAACAGCAGGTACTGAAACAATTTGGGTGAAATGCCATGGGTGCAACAGC